CAAATAAAAATCACAACAGAAAATAATCATCACAATAATGAAAATACTCACAGATCTTAAGATACGTCAGCTTTTGGAATGTTTAGGAAAAAACACGCTCACAAAACAAAGTCATTAAGGTCATCAAATCAGGCATAAAACTTCCTTCCATTTGCATTCATTTCAACAATTAACGATATGTAAGGTTACCGGTCAAAAGGGTTCTGCGTGTGTTGACATCCGACCTATGACCTTCAAACAATAAATAAGGGCATCTGAACAGTTTTAAATGGCATAAAGCTCATTGTCACCGAGACTAGAGATGTTTACTTGTTAGACAGCACCATTAAACCCTCTGGACCTCAAGCCAATGATTATTTAGCGTCATATTAATTACTGATATTCTAGAGTTTGAAGGTTTGTTTGGGGTCGGTAAGATTTTTGAAAGAAGTCTCTTCTGCTCAGCAATGATACATTAAAAATACATTAAAAACAGTGATATATTATTACAATTCAAAATAATGGTTTTCTTTCTGAATATGTTTTAAAATGTAATTTATTCCTGTGATCAAAGCTGGATTTTCAGCATTACTCCAGTCTTCAGTGTCACATGATCGTGTGTTCATGTGCCGCATTACAAGTAACTTGCATTATGTAATCAGATTACTTTTTTATGTAGCGAGTAAAGTCATGAATTACTATATAAATGTACACATTAATACTGGCCCACCGGTGGGCCCAAATCCATTACATTTTTAAAACAGTAATATCCTATACTAAACCTAAACTAATCTTGACATCATTTGAAAGCTGATTGATTTTCAAAATGAATTACAGAGGAGCCGTAATTGATCAATTTGCAACAAGAATATTTTCATACTCCTAAGGCGTGTTTAGACCTTTATTTTGAAATAGTGATGAACATGAAAAATCATGAAAGAAGGATAGAAACCTCAGTTTGTTTTCATGCCAAGAGTTCAAAAGATAGCATCCATTCAATTATTTTAGAAAAAAAGGTCTGAAATTTTTTTAAATATAAAGAAAATTTTTATAAATTCACCATTTGTGATGTGGCAGCGAGCTATAACGCACATACTTGTTCTTTTTGTGTTTCTTAGAGGTTGAATTCATATCAAAATCTGTCAAACTTCTCATATTACTTCTGAATAGGATGTCTACTTCATAAATTGTATGGAAATTGTGGAAATAATGGTTCAAATCACTCAAAACACATATGGAAATGGAGGCGCCCTTATATGGGCAGTAATGGAGTCTGGTTGTGCCCTAGTGGAAGCGTTCGGTACTGCGCACAAACAAAATCTTCCTGAAAGCTCATTTTTTGAGATATCAACCTAAAATTTGAAACACAACTTGTTCAGATTTTTTACTTTGATTTTTTTTGCAGTTTTAGAGTCGCCCAGGTTTTGAAAATAAATATTTTCTATAAAATATGAATAATTAAATTTTTTACATTGTACATTTTCATAAACTCAAACTTCTATAACTTTTTTTCTGTTTCACTTTCTTAATTTATTTCACTTCTACAAAAATCTGCCAAATGTCTTCTTTAAAACGAGACCAATCTTACGTCTATATTCCAAAGCATTCTTGAATTAAAACCATTTAAGTTTGAAATGTGCATTTTCATGTATATTCAAAAAAAGGGGGGTGACACTTAAAGGGTTAAGTTACTTTTTTTGTGTTTTTTTTAAGTAATGCATGTTACTTTTCAGTTGATTAAAATTGCTTAAACATTCTTGAAGAGAGTTTTCTTCAAAAGTAACAAAACGCATTACTTTCAACTTTCAATAAAATCACTTGTACCCGTACTGTTAAAAGATGTTTTGTATGGCATATATAGCTATAGCAGTCAGGATATATTCCTTTTTTTTTTGCATATAAATGCATATGCAATAAGGTCAGCCACAAAAATAACCGCGTTCATGCTAATTTATCACTGCGTGTCTTTAGTAAATCGTTTTTTAACGCCAAAAGAGGGTTAGTATTAAGCTGTTAGTAAATCTGGTCCTATGTGTGTTTTTCAAAGAAAATGAAGCTTTATGTTAATAACAAAGCTGTGTTATTGAATGCATTACTGCAATAAACATAATATTATGCAACAACAACAAACTACTCTAACCCTGCAAAGCCTGTAAGAGAGCGAGAATCAGCCAGATGAGTAATGTAACGGATTACTTTCCATAAAAAGTAACTAAGTAATGTAATCAGTTACTTTTTAGTGTGTAACGCGATATTGTAATGCAAACATTCCCCCTTTTTTGGTGATGAAACTGATGAATAGAAAGTTGCAACATTATAAATGTCTTTAGTGTCACTTTTGATCTATTTAATGCATCCATCGCTGAATAAAAGTATTAATTTCTTTCAAAATAAGAAATCTTACTGACCCCGAACGTTTGAATGCTAGTGTACATTCAGTAGCAGGACGATATTAACCAGACGAGTGTATGAAATCAGTGTACTAATGCTAAAACTGGGAACGGAGACAGACGTATTATCGGCAGGGATTTGTTCAGGAAAGTTTGGCAGTGTGAAACAGACTCGATTGTTTGTCCGCACAAGCCAGAAAACAGGGCAAGTTTTATCTCGCTCTAGCCGACGGCAAGGACTGTGAGCGAGAGCATTGTGTTTTCGACTCCACGACGGGATAAAACAAGAAATAAAAGCAAACATTAAACGAGAACTACAACCTGAAACCGTTTGGGTTTTTGTTTGGTTGATTTGATAGTGCACACGTGAACTGAAAGCTCACGATTCCAACACTGATACATTGCAGGTCCGGCTCAAACGGAGTAAACTGGCATATTAACTCTTCCAGATGCCAAAAACATAAACAGAAGGATCGGGGAGGTGTGCAAATAAGCCATCGGATACAAAACAATAATCATAATATCATCTGCATGTGTGCAGAACACAGTAATCAACAATGATCACACAAACAATCAGACACTGATAAAACTATCCATACAAATATATAGTGAGATATACTATAAGTGTGTTTACATCGATATAATCAGGATTATCAATAAATATGACTTCAATCCAAAGTCTGGAACGTCACTCCGTGAGCGTGTGCTTATCGGATTCTCCACAAAACTGGAATGACTATTCAAATTCCACGATCCAAGGCAGACAAATGCATTAATATCGATTAATATTCATAATTATTAGCCCCGCCCCCTTCATAGATTCACCAGGCAGGCTTTACAATCAATATGCACGTTACTTTGGCGTCTGAGAATTTTTAACCTAGCATGTTGTTATTCTTTCTCGAATCTGATCCGACAGATATGAACCTAAAAATCTAGGCGTTGTGAACTTGTTGTAGTGGGATATCTATAACTAGCTAACGTTGGTTTGCAGTGGGTGGGACACAGCTTTGCTCCTGAATATTAATTAGGTGACATGACATTTGAGTGTGCTATTTATATACTATTATAGTTTTTGTTAATACTTTGAATTAGCTTTTTTAAATTCAGTTTTTATTTTATTTTATATATTTTATTGCTGTGTTTTTGTCATTTTTAGTTTTTGTTATTTTAATATTTTGAATTTTATTTTAGTTTTATTTCGTTTTTTTCGTTTTGTACTTTGCCAAGGCAACATTTCTAATTTTCATTTAGTTTAAGTTCTTCATCTAATATCTTTATTATATATTATATTTTTTTCAGCTTGATTCCAATTAACAAAAATGTTTTTAATGTTTTAGTCAGGGCTATTATTGTAATTAAAATAATTCATATAAATATCGAAACTAAAAACATTAAAAACATTTTTGTTATTTGAATTAAAATAAACATTATAAAAAATATACAAAAACTTAAACTTATTTTTCAGCTAGTTGCCAAGGCAAAATTCCCCAATTTGAATTTAGTCAAAAAAAGAAATAATTAAACCTGAAATATAAATTAATAAAAGCTATAAAGACATATTCAAATAAAAACATAAAAACATATAATTACTAAAACTGAAATAAAAATGAAAACGGGAAAAAATACACAAAAAAATCGAATTCAAAATAATAAAAACTCGAATAATATCTAAAATACCACTGGTTTTGTGTGCGATAACTACTGTACACTTTGCATGACATTTCATGTGTCCCATCCCTAAATAATAATAAAAAAAAACGCATTTGCATACCCAAAATGTTTTAATTAAACCTCAAACTACCTACAAAGGTGGTTTACATGAGTAGCAGATTTGCGTGGGATAATTCTTCTTGTGATGTGGCCATGCAAAACGAATCTCTTAATCTATAATAATCATCTCCCAAAGTGTGGGAACTTTCAGGAAGTTTTAATAGTCGCTACGCCCCTGGTTAGAGGCATTTCCATTTTGATTGGGCTAATTTGAGAGATGCTTTCAAGTCTAATTCACTGATACGTCTCTCACAGCTTTTCAGAGAAAAACTAATCGAATTAACCTCCGGAGCCGACATGTAATTTCAAAACATGCGCTGAATAAAGCCTCGATATGCAGAAAGATATGTTCCTCTCAGGTCAGCCGAGAATATGCATCGCACACAAACACTCCCGCACTTTTCCTCAAGGTCGTTCAGAGCCCGGAGGAAAGCCGTTCAGAGGTGGTCGTGAGAAAGAGGGCAAACTAATCAACATTACATGCCCTCTTGTTCCGGGAAATGAACAATTAAAAAGAGCTGATATTTTACGACATCATTAACAAGAGCTCTACGATTCAAAGTGTCACGATTGATCTCGAGATAAGCGGCGACGACTCCCCAGATTAAACGCTCATAAAAGGATATGGTCTCAGCGTGAGACCGGACGAGACAAAAACAGGCAGCTTGGCAAACACAACCTCACTTTATGCTCAGTATTAAAACCACCACATTCAGATAAAAACACACGGCGCTGTGAACAAGAACGGCACGACAACAAACTATTAAAATCAGTCAGACTGGTTGGCGTTACGCTTTGATCCTTGGATGATGACGAGCTGTGAGAAACAGACGGGTGCGGGGCATTATGGGTCGGGAATGATGGGTTAGTTGTTCTGTTTGGGCAGACAGCTCAAGATGTATTCGCCCACGCCGAGGAAGTAGACGACCTGAGCGATGCCGAAGAGCGGCGCGATGACCAGAGCTCGACAGTACGCACCCTTCAGGAAAGCAGTCGGGCCTTCGTTGCGTAATATCTTCCTGTGGTCACATGGGAAAAAGGGAATCATTTCACCCATAATTGGACCCAAATTGCTGTAATGAATGATGTGGTCAGCTGACGCCGTCACCTGATGCAGTCCGTCACCCCGCTGTAAGTGTCCTCTTGACTTCCTCGTGTTAGCGACTGTAGTCTCGTCTTTATCACTGAAACACAGAAGCCGAAACACAGATGTTGCACAACAGTTTCTGCTAACACACACTCAGGCTCTGTTTGTAAAGCTGCTTAACTCCTGACTCTCCATGACAGAGATCCAACTTGAGATCTCGAGGTAAGATCTGCTACTCGGTTCAAGGGAGAATTGACTTGAAATTGTTTGACATTAGCATATTCAGTATTTAAGAAAATAAACAGTGGGAAAAAATCGATATCATTTTTAATATGCTAAAGATAATATTCACTACTTTAAGATTCATTACTGGTGATGACAATGACCAAATATTCAATATTTAAAAAATATAAATAATAATATTAATTAAAATACGTAATAGTCAGTATAAATAATAAAGTTAAATAGTTAAATAATAAAAAATCAACACTGATTCGACATAATTTAATATACAAAATAATATTCACTATTTTAAAATATGATATGATAAAATATAAATATGATTCAGCACTGATGACAATGATAATATTCAGTATTTAAAAAAATAAATGTGTATCACACGTGTGTATGATGGGACAAACTCATTTTAAAAAACTAATATTTAGTATTTTTTTAAATAGATTTTTTTTTTTTTGTATTTAATAATATTGAATATTCCGTAGTTAAAACATGGGGGGGGGGGGTATTAGAACATATTCAATATTTAATACTCAGTATTTTTTTGACAAAAAAACTCTGAAAATTATTTTATATTCAGTATTTAAAAACAAATATTGAAGAAATATTCCATATTAAAAATGAAGTATTTAAAAAATAGACATTTTTTCATTATTTTATATTCAGTAATAAAAATAGACAAAATGAATATAAAAGTATTTAATATTCAGAATTTAAACATATAGAATATAGAATATAAAAAAATAGACAAAACAAATATTGAAAACAATACAATATTTAATATACTTAATTATTAATATTCAGTATTTTAAAAAACAGAAACAAAAAAAATATTTAAATATTCGATATTTAATATGCAATAATAAAAAGAGACAACTAATATAAAACTAATATACAAATATTTCATATTCAGATTTAAAAATAAATAAATAAACAAACATTAAAAAAGATATAATAAATATTAATATTCAGTGTTTAAAATATAGAAAAATATTTAATATTCTGTAATAAAAACCGTACCGTCCACAGGGTTGACAGCGACCGCAGCCGTGCTCCCCGCAGCGCAGCCCGAGAGGAACGACACGTAGAACGGTGCGGGACCCTCGCCTCCTTTCTTACCCAGGTTATTCAAATTAGCGAACAGAGGGAAATATATGACAGAAAACGGGACATCCCTGAAGGAGAGGGAAACACAACCCTGAAATATTCGCGCTGCATTCTGTCAGTGTGATATTTGCATGTGTTTCCCCCACCTGAGCAGCGTGGCTCCCAGGCCCTTGTAGAGACCCGCGATGCCCTTTTCCTTCAGCAGTTCTCTGGTGAGTTGCATAGCAGTGGGGGACTTCAGCTCTACGGGGCCCCCGGGGGTCACAGCCTGAGGCATGAGCTTCCTCTGGGCCGCTGCACACACACAGCACAGTATCAACCACACACACACACACACACACACACACACATAATCCACTTTATTTATATAAAACATATGCAAAACTATATTGATAGGAAGGAAGCCTAATGGATGACACCGTTGAGGCTAACTTCTTCTGATCTTAACTTGTGAACAGACTTTGCTAGTTACCAAAAAGTAGTTTGAAGGCGTTGTCGAAATGTTCCTTATGTAGAATAACAACTTTTAAGCTCATCTCAAAACAATTGTTGGAAACTTTTTTGTGTATACATTCAGTACCACTGACAATGACTTAATATTCAGTATATTAAAAAATAGAAATAACTTATATTGATAAAATATTCAGTATTTAGTATTTTCAAAAGGAAAAAATAAATATTGAAAAAAATCTATATAATTTTTAATATAATAAATAATATGCACTATTTTAAATAAGATTTATTACGAATGACAATGACTTAATATTCAGTATTTTAAAAATAGAAATCAACACTGAAAAAATTAGATATAATTTTAATATACAAAATAAATAATATTCACCATTTTAAAATATTATATTATAAAATATAAATATGATATATAAATATGAAAATATAAATGATGTCACTGATGACAATGATAACATCCAGCATTTAAAAAATAGAAAATTTAATATAGAAAATGTGTATATTTGTTTTAATATTTATTTTTATTCAATATTTTTAGAAATAGAAAAAAAAACAATACTGAAAATGATAAATTTAATATGAATATACTGAATAAAATATCCAGTATTTAAAAAATATTAAGTACTGCAGACAATGACTTGGTATTCAGTATTTTAAAAATGAAAAAAATAATATTGAAAAATATTCAACATTTAATAATTATAAATAATATAAAAAAATATAAAAAACAGAAATAAAAAAAAAACTAAATAATATTCAATACACTGAATAAAAATATTATAATAAATATAAATAAATAATAAAATAAATAAATAATATAATGATATACTATTGCTGACAATGACTTTTTATAACAGACACATTTAGCGGTACTACACTAAAAACTCTGCTCTGTAAGAAATTAAATTATTCATTTAGCAGATGCTTTTATAAAAGCGAAATACAAATAAATACCACATGTATTGCTTATTGTCTATAAAATTACACAATGATGTCAAATCTGACACTAGTAGGCCTAATGTACAGGGAGAAGTGCCACAATGTGGCCACAAGGTGGCGGTGCTTCATCTCTCTTCTCTGTCCTGTGTCTTCATTTCTCACTTCACCTTCATTCCTTCCTCTTTTACAGAGTAGATTCTTACCGATTCTTCCAGCATCTTGCAGCTGAATCTTTAGCATCTCCATCGGTGTTGTAACGATGACCTGCAACACAACAGAACAAGGTTAGAGGAAACCTCACAGCCAATGAAAACGAGGACAAGCACTTTTAAAGGGCCACACACATATTCAAATCAAGACAGGTGTGACACCTAAAGCCAGTGGTCAAAGTGCTTTTAAAAGGCACTCTTTTGGTAATTTTACACTGACGTCTCTCCTTTAGCTTACCATAATTAAGCCTATCGGAGCCACTGCCGTCTGGAAGCCTGTACTTTATCCTACTATAATCTCAGAAATGAACAACCACATACAATTAGCATATCCTCCTACATGCTGAGGTTCAAATGGGTTCGTAAAATGGTATCTGTAACCCATTTAACTTCCGAAATGTGACTTGTTTTTATATTTTCTGAAGAAATATTTTCTTCCTGTGCATAACTGACTGGAAGTTGAAAGAGGTTGCGACATCAGCACAACAGACGTCCACGGGGGACGGGTTTATGTGTGCTAGCCTGGCTGTCACTGGAGACACAATCACACGTTTAATCACATCTGAAGGGGTTTGCAGGAGGACAGTAAATGGGTTATACTGTCTGTTTGCAATGTTCATCCACAAACCTGACTCGGCACTAGTTGATGGGATTATTTGTGTGTATATCACCTGTCAATCTTAATCCAGAGTCTGCTGTAATCCCATCATTTAATCCGACATGGTTATAAACCTGCGCATTGACGACAGGAAGACGGTCACCTGTGTCACATGACTGAACCACTGTGTTGTGTATTACTCAGTTAAGTCAGTCCAGAAAGAGGTCAATAGTGGAACGCAACGCAATGTTAAGTGCATGTAATTGCTACTCCTACCACTTTATGTTCTCCGTCCGCCTGAAATTAAATGATTTTATTCATAAATAAACTGATTGGTATTGATTTTATGATCAATAATCAATATATATCTACACAACTTCGGAGCATTACATGATGTTACCTCAATTTAATGCTAAATGAAAGTACTTTGGATTTTAAAATACGTTCTGCATTCGTAACATTTGCATCCGAGCTGAGTTTTTTTTAACTAATATGTATTTTAATATAATGTATTTAATATATGTATTTTTATGAATTTGTTATATAACAACAATTTATGTTATATATATTTTTATGTAGCTTTATATATATATATATATATATATATATATATATATGATAAAAAACATTCTAAATGATATATAGAGAGAGGGAGAGAGAAATATGAAAAAAATGAAATAAAAATATTAGATGAATAATTTAAAATCAAAAATATAAAAACTTAAAAATAAAATAAATACATTAAAGTTGAAGTACTAAAATGAATACTACTGAAATAAAAATAAATGAAAGCTAAATAGATTTTTTAAATTAAACTAAATTTAAAATAAAAAATAAAACAAAATTAAATGTATAAAAATACTAGTGCTGTAAATATATGTGTGTGTGTATATATATATATATATATATATATATATACACACACAAGCTTTTATGTTAGATGGGAATAATTACCATTAAATGATTCGACAGCACTAAAAAATACTTAACAGCATATAAATAATACTAAAATATTAAAATAAAATAATACTATAAATATTATGCACCTTTTGTCTTTTGGTTTCCATACAGTCTTTTTATGCAATATAAAATATATTATATATATATATGCTATTGGTATAAAAGGGGTGTTTTAGTATGGTATCGTGGAAGAATACACACATTAACCAAGCGTTCAGTATAATAAGCAGACCTGGTTCTGAATAAGCACCTGCTTCAGGTGGATGTGCTCAACAAAGGCTGGCAGGGGCAGGTGAGCTCACGTGTGTATAATGGGAATGCTTAAAGGGAGTGTGTTTGTACCCTTAATGCATCTGTGTTTTGTCTCAGTGATCTGTCTGCTGCTGAATCATCTGTGTGCAGACGTGAATAAAATAACAGTGGAGCATCTATTAATGGAGGCTGAAGCATCAGGTAGATTACTGAGATGTGTGTGTGTGTGTGTGTTCACACTGACCTGACATGTTCCCGCCCCGCAGCCGGCCAGCATCTCTCGCAGGAGAGTGAGTTTCTGCCTGTGGGAACGACAGACGAATTCTCTCATTATCAGCACACACACACACACACACTGAGGGTCGTTAATAATTCACACTTTGACTCGACGGCGGTGGTCAATAATTCACCGGTGCCGTTTTCGGTCACCATGGAGACGCAGCCGAACAGGGCATTGTGGGTATTGTCTGTGTGCTTCAACCCCTATTTAATATTAATGTCGCTCTGGTAATGTAATCCTGTGTGCTGAATTGATTGAGATGTCTGACGGTGTCGGTATGTGACTACTGTGGCTTGTTAGATGGTAATACCACAGTATTTTGATGTGTACATTGGTTGCTGTTTAAATACCATATTGACAGGATAGAGAAGACAGAATGGTGTTTTCGGGAAGGAAACCAATGTGATGTGTCAAGAGTGTGTGAATGGGCTGATGATGTGGGAAATGGGGATGATGATGTGTCAGAGTGTGTGAATGGGCACAGTCAGCTCAAAATGCTAGTCATCGTATTTATATTGATTTGTGCATTAGCTGTATGTGTGTGTGTGTTTGTTTATGTCTCACCCGTCCTTAGAGAGGTGAAATCTGAAGAAATCATTTGCTGCAAGCTTGATGGCTTTTTCTGGAGTGACAAGAGTTAAGTTCACCGCAGCACCTGGGAGAGAGAAAACACACGTATTCAGTTTCACCTTCACTCTCAAAATAATCCTTTAGTTGAAAGTAGTGCTTGTCAAATCAATGAATCGCTTCTAACATTAAAGATTGTAAATGTGTGTGTGTGTGTGTGTGTGTGTATGTGTATATGTATATATATAATATATATATATATATATATATGTGCGTGTGTATGTGTATATATACTGTATGTGTGTGTGTGTGTATGTGTGTGTGTGTGTATGTGTATATATATATATATATATATATATATATATATATATATATATATATATATACTGTATATATAAACACTATTTTGCCCAAAGTTTTGGGACGTCTGCCTTTACATGCACATGAACTTTAATGACATCCCATTCTTAATCTGTAGGGTTTAATATGGAGTTGGCCCACCCCCTGCAGCTATAACAGCTTTGACTCTTCTGGGAGGGCTTTCCACAAGGTTTGGGAGTGTGTTTATGGGAATTTTTGTCCATTCTTCTAGAAGCGCATTTGTGAGGTCAGGCACTGATGTTGGACGAGAATTGCCTGGCTCGCAGTCTCCGCTCTAATTCATCCCAAAGGTGTTCAATCGGGTTGAGGTCAGGACTCTGTGCAGGCCGGTCAAGTTCCTCCACACCAAACTCGCTCATCCTTTATGGATTTTATGGTCATGTAGGAACAGGAAGGATTCATCCCCAAACTGTTCCCACAAAGTTGGGAGCATCAAATTGTCCAAAATGTCTTGGTATGCTGAAGCATTTAGAGTTCCTTTCACTGGAGCCAAGCCCAACCCCAGAAAAACAACCCCACACCATAATCCCCCCTCCACCAAACTTTACACTTGGCACAATGCAGTCAGGCTAGTCCCGTTCTCCTGGCAACCGCCAAACCCAGACTCGTCCATCAGATCGCCAGACAGAGAAGTGTGATTCGTCACTCCAGAGAACACTTCTCCACTGCTCTAGAGTCCAGTGACATCCCACGCTTTGCATTGCACTTGGTGATGTAAGGCTTGGATGCAGCTGCTCGGCCATGGAAACCCATGAAGCTCTCTGCACACTGTTCCTGAACTAATCTGAAGGCCACACGACGTTTGGAGGTCTGTAGATATTGACTCAGCAGAAAGTTGGCGACTCCTGCGCACTGTGCGCCTCAGCATGCGCTGACCCCGCTCTGTGATTTTTCGTGGGCTACCACTGCGTGGCTGAGTTGCTGTTGTTCCCATTTGCTTCCATTGTGTTATAATACCACTAACAGTTGATCGTGGAATATTTAGTAGTGAGGAAATTTCACAAATGGACTTATTGCACAGGTGGCAACCTATCACGGTACCATGCTTGAGTTCACTGAGCTCCTGAGAGCGACCCACTCTTTCACAGATGTTTGTAGAAGCCTCTGCATGCCTAGTACTTGAGTTTATACAACTGTGGCCATGGAAGTGATTGGAAAACATGAAATCAATGATTTCTGAGGGGTGTCCCAATACTTTTGGCAATATATACAGGTCCTTCTTTAAAAAAATTAGCATATTGTGATAAAGTTAATTATTTTCCATAATGTAATGATAAAAATTAAACTTTCATATATTTTAGATTCATTGCACACCAACTGAAATATTTCAGGTCTTTAATTGTTTTAATACTGATGATTTTGGCATACAGATCATGAAAACCCAAAATTCCTGTCTCAAAAAATTAGCATATTTCATCCGACCAATAAAAGAAGTGTTTTTAATACAAAAAAAAGAGTCAACCTTCAAATAATTATGTTCAGTTATGCACTCAATCCTTGGTCGGAAATCCTTTTGCAGAAATGACTGCTTCAATGCGGCGTGGCATGGAGGCAATCAGCCTGTGGCACTGCTGAGGTGTTATGGAGGCCCAGGATGCTTCGATAGCGGCCTTAAGCTCATCCAGAGTGTTGGGTCTTGCGTCTCTCAACTTTCTCTTCACAATATCCCACAGATTCTCTATGGGGTTCAGGTCAGGAGAGTTGGCAGGCCAATTGAGCACAGTAATACCATGGTCAGTAAACCATTTACCAGTGGTTTTGGCACTGTGAGCAGGTGCCAGGTCATGCTGAAAAATGAAATCTTCGTCTCCATAAAGCTTTCCAACAGATGGAAGCATGAAGTGCTCCAAAATCTCCTGATAGCTAGCTGCATTGACCCTGCCCTTGATAAAACACAATGCACCAACACCAGCAGCTGACATGGCACCCCAGACCATCACTGACTGTGGGTACTTGACACTGGACTTCAGGCATTTTGGCATTTCCTTCTCCCCAGTCTTCCTCCAGACTCTGGCACCTTGATTTCCAAATGACATGCAAAACTGAGCAACAGTCCAGTGCTGCTTCTCTGTAGCCCAGGTCAGGCGCTTCTGCCACTGTTTCTGGTTCAAAAGTGGCTTGACCTGGGGAATGCGGCACCTGTAGCCCATTTCCTGCACACGCCTGTGCACGGTGGCTCTGGATGTTTCTACTCCAGACTCAGTCCACTGCTTCCGCAGGTCCCCCAAGGTCTGGAATCGGTCCTTCTCCACAATCTTCCTCAGGGTCCGGTCACCTCTTCTCGTTGTGCAGCGTTTTTTGCCACACTTTTTCCTTCCCACAGACCTCCCACTGAGGTGCCTTGATACAGCACTCTGGGAACAGCCTATTTGTTCAGAAATTTCTTTCTGTTTTACCCTCTTGCTTGAGGGTGTCAATGATGGCCTTCTGGACAGCAGTCAGGTCGGCAGTCTTACCCATGATTGCGGTTTTGAGTAATGAAACAGGCTGGGAGTTTTTAAAAGCCTCAGGAATCTTTTGCAGGTGTTTAGAGTTAATTAGTTGATTCAGATGATTAGGTTAATAGCTTGTTTAGAGACCCTTTTCATGATATGCTAATTTTTTGAGATAGGAATTTTGGGTTTTCATGAGCTGTATGCCAAAATCATCAGTATTAAAACAATAAAAGACCTGAAATATTTCGGTTGGTGTGCAATGAATCTAAAATAAATGAAAGTTTAATTTTTATCATTACATTATGGCAAATAATTAACTTTATCACAATATGCTAATTTTTTTAGAAGGACCTGTATATATATATATATACACACACATGCATATATATATATATTATATTTACAAAGTTTTATGTTATATGCGATTAATGGATTTGACAGCACTAGTTGAAACACTAACATGTAAACTTGCTCTTACCTCTGTACATGCCGAAGTATCCCTCCGAGCGGATGGTCTTAATAAGGCAGTCTGACCTGCAGAGCACAATATATCATTCACATGTGAAACCTGACGAACTGAATCTTCTATATGATTCGATTCGTCCGTTTGAACACTCACAAGCTGGTATAGAGACGGCATCCATTCTGCTGGTTCTGAAGGCGAGTCTTGGCCAGATCGATGGGAAACACGCAGGTAACGCCGATCAGTCCTGCCACACCGCCGTTAATTAGCTTTGCAGGCAAACTGGAGCAAAGATGAGATGAGACAAATAAGAGACAAGGGCAAAAAAAAATCATTCATTTTAAGTTGTTGCCAGGGCATTACTATGCCATTGTTAGGGTGTTGTGGGTGGTTGCCAGGGCATTACTATGCCATTGTTAGGGTGTTGTGGGTGGTTGCCAGGGCATTACTATGCCATTGTTAGGGTGTTGTGGGTGGTTGCCAGGGCATTACTATGCCATTGTTAGGGTGTTGTGGGTGGTTGCCAGGGCATTACTATGCCATTGTTAGGGTGTTGTGGGTGGTTGCCAGGGCATTACTATGCCATTGTTAGGGTGTTGCGGGTGGTTGCCAGGGCATTACTATGCCATTGTTAGGGTGTTGCGGGTGGTTGCCAGGGCATTACTATGCCATTGTTAGGGTGTTGTGGGTGGTTGCCAGGGCATTACTATGCAATTGTTAAGGTGTTGCGGGTGGTTGCCAGGGCATTACTATGCCATTGTTAGGGTGTTGCGGGTGGTTGCCAGGGCATTACTATGCCATTGTTAGGGTGTTGCGGGTGGTTGCCAGGGCATTACTATGCCATTGTTAGGGTGTTGCGGATGGTTGTCAGGGCATTACTATGCAGTTGTTAAGGTGTTGCGGGTGGTTGCCAGGGCATTACTATGCAGTTGTTAAGGTGTTGCGGGTGGTTGCCAAGGCATTTACTATGCCATTGTTAGGGTGTTGTGGGTGGTTGCCAGGGCATTACTATGCCATTGTTAGGGTGTTGTGGGTGGTTGCCAGGGCATTACTATGCAGTTGTTAAGGTGTTGCGGGTGGTTGCCAGGGCATTACTATTAGGGCTGCCCCCAAATAGTCGACTAAATGTTAGTCGATATGAGGAGGGCTTGGTCGAATACATTTTCATTAGTCGGTTAGTCGCAAAAAAAAAAATAACGTGAAAAAATTACGCAATCAGGGGCTGCGCAGTCAGTGTATGACATGACATCAAAGCAACGAGAGATCAACGAGATCTCGTGCCTCGCGGTATACCAAAGCGCACTTGTGGGAGAGGTGTCTGGCTGATATCCATGCTGATGGCCATTGATGAGGAGGAGCATGCAGAAGAGAAGGATGAACTAAAAATGTACTTGGCAGATAAAACAAAGGTTGATTCGGGACCATTGGCATGGTGGCATAAAAATGAACATCGATATCCAAAGCTCGCTAAAGCAGCTAAACGCCTCCACTGTATCCCTTTCACATCCACTCCATCAGAGCGCATCTTTTCAAAGCCCGGCTTCATTGTGAACAAGTCGAGAAGCTCCCTTCTTCCCAACAATGTGGACAAGCTGGTGTTCCTCTCACATAATATGAAAAAAATAAAATCGAATTGAAAGCTTAGGTAAGAATGCTTAATTTCCTTTTTGTAGCGTTTCGGTTTCCTATCCGTTAGGCTATAAAAAAAGCGGGTATTTTTATAACCGGGTAGGTTATACAAATAAATAAATATTATTTTTATTTATTCGTTTTTATATAATGCAGAAGTTGTTTTTTTATTCTGTAAGAAAAATTAGTCTGATGTTTGCAATTTGTTTCAGGTCAAGACTCATCCGTCGTCTTAATGGCAGTTTGCGGCTTTGCTCTGATATTTTTTATTTGTATTAGTGTTCTTTAAATTAGCCTATTTGTTCCACATTTTGTCTTAAATATAGCCTAGTTGTTCTAAACAATTTAATCAAATACTTAGGCTGTTGATTTGTTTGCCGCTGCCTTTTTTATTCTAAGTTTTGGCGTTGTGCGATGTGCCATGTGCATTTATTAAATTGTTCGTTTTTGTTAATTTTCCTTTTGAACAATATAAAAATTATATGAATTTAATTTTCCACTGTATTTTTATACCAAACAGCGTTTTTGCTACAGTATTTTTTGCCTTCTTTTGTACTAGGCCTAAGTTACTAATAAGTTTATTTAATTTATTTTAAAGAACGAATTTTAGTTTATTTTATTCAAAACTGTTTCTTTTTTACATGTAACTGTTACAGTTTGTATTTTTGATAATAAATTATTAAAATGCACAGGCAGTCTGATTGCTGTTTTTATGTTATAATTAGCCTATAACGTGTCGTAAGCGCTGTATACTTTAAACGCTTTACTATTCTGTTTTAAGCGCTTAATTTTCATTTTGAATGCGCTAATGTCATGCTTTAGCATTTTCTGTCATATGGAAGTGTTAAACTTCAACTTGGACTATACCTTTCCTTGTATATACGCAAGTTTTTATATTAATATCATAAATGAACGATTATTCGACTAATCGCTAAAATGCAGGAGTGTTAGTCGACTAGGAATATCTTTAGTCGGGGGCAGCCCTAATTACTATGCCATTGTTAGGGTGTTGCGGGTGGTTGCCAGGGCATTACTATGCAGTTGTTAAGGTGTTGCGGGTGGTTGCCAGGGCATTACTATGTCATTGTTAGGGTGTTGCGGGTGGTTGCCAGGGCATTACTATGCAGTTGTTAAGGTGTTGCGGGTGGTTGCCAGGGCATTACTATGCAGTTGTTAAGGTGTTGCGGGTGGTTGCCAGGGCATTACTATGCCATTGTTAGGGTGTTGCGGGTGGTTGCCGGTGGTTGCCAGGGCATTACTATGCAGTTGTTAAGGTGTTGCGGGTGGTTGCCAGGGCATTACTATGCCATTGTTAGGGTGTTGCGGGTGGTTGCCAGGGCATTACTGTGCAGTTGTTAAGGTGTTGAGGGTGGTTGCCAAGGCATTTACTATGCCATTGTTAGGGTGTTGTGGCTGGTTGCCAGGGCATTACTATGCCATTGTTAGGGTGTTGTGGGTGGTTGCCAGGGCATTACTATGCAGTTGTTAAGGTGTTGCGGGTGGTTTCCAGGGCATTACTATGCCATTGTTAGGGTGTTGCGGTTGGTTGCCAGGGCATTACTATGCAGTTGTTAAGGTGTTGCGGGTGGTTGCCAGGGCATTACTATACCATTGTTAGGGTGTTGCGCGTGGTTGCCAGGGCATTACTATGCAGTTGTTAAGGTGTTGCAGGTGGTTGCCAGGGCATTCCTATGCAGTTGCTAATGTGTTCCGAATGGTTCTATGCACATTATGATGTTATGTGGTTGCTAGGGTGTTGTGCAGTTCAAAAAGTCTAACTCCAGTGATGCTTGACTTTTTGAAACTCACCTGATCTGTTTGTCAGCCATTTATCTGGGTCCCTGTACTTCTTCAGTGTGTGTGTGTGTGTGTGTTTAAGGCGTCAGTGTGCACGTCTTTGCAGATTTCTCAGAAACGTTTGAGATCTCAGTCCATTCGCCTTCCTGTGCCAGATATCTGAAAGACATGGGAATAGAGAGAATCATTGAGTCAGTGTGGTTATGATACAGGTGTCATCTCTCTCTCTCTTTGTCTCCAGGAATGCTTCACACTGGACTCTTTCCTTTCCTTCTCCATCTGTTCCTCTCATCTCAGGAACAACTATGTCTTATTTTTTATTCTTATTACCTTTTTTCGGTCGCACAGGAAGTTTAAAATAGCTCACACTATCTGATTCATGACATATAAATGAATATTTACGAAAACGTAAAAGCATCAACAAATAATTTTTCCTCCCATCAAATGTTTTCTCCCCCATGTCCCTTTAGGAGCTCTGTAGTAGCACTTATGCCAACTAAGGTTGTTCTAAATGTGGAGCTCGATGTGTGTGTGTGTGTGTCATGAATCAGATAGTGTTTGAGAGGAACATCTGTGTGTGTTTCCTCCAAACATATGTGGAATTTGAACAACTTGAAGACAGTCTTTCCCCCTCGTTCCTCCCCTCTGTTCAGCCAATCAGCTCGTCTCTTTCACTCCGTCCCCTCCCTCTCTTCCTTCTGCTCTCCACTGATGCGTTTCCTGATTTCTGCTGACTGGACTGGACTCCTCTACCTTCAATTCTGCATTTTCTCTGTCTGGGTTCCTCTTTTTCTTCACTCAGAGAGTGGATGCACTCGTGAGATTTACCATAAACATTATTATATGTTAGATCAGCACTAACCAACACAAACCAGTTTGGAAACCTTCTGTTCCTATCAGCAGGACTGTTATTTTTCCATCCTCTCAGTATCTTCCTCATGATTCAAGAGAATATCAGGTCTGTTTTGACTGGCACAATGTTCCTACTATCAGTGAACACTAAATCGCAGATATTTAATGTCTCCCACAAGGTCTCAGACACATGAAGAACCAGCAACAATGATAAAAAAAAAATGTTTTAAAAGTCTCTTCTGCTAGAAAGAAATAGAGACTTCTCAGTTCTCCTGATTCTCAGATTTTCCTCCTGAGAATAAGACTTATATGTCTCTAGAGTTTTAGAAGAGACTGTCTCTTAATAGGGTTTTTATAGGAACTCAGTTATGAACTAGCCACCATGGCATCTCCCAAGAACAACATTTTCCCATAGGGCCATTTTCCTGGTTGCATTCGCACTGCCAGTAGGAACGCTGATGTGACGTAAGCCGGCTACGGGTGTGTATAAGGGTGTGTTCACAGTCACACTTGTAATTCGGTTCGCTTGGTTCGTTTTGTCCGGACCAAAAAAAACACAAACATTTAGTCCTGTTCCGCTTAGCGTTCAAATTGGGATTTTTAACACCGAACCTAAAGGCATAGAGAATATGTCCACAATCTGATCCAAACATCCAAAACAATGCTGTGTTCTGGGATAAATGCGCTTATTGTCTGTGCTTTGCTACATATGATGGCATTTTGACCCGCTGAGAACTCGTGAAGAGCTTATAAAATGTGTAAAGGAGTCAAAACAGCGTCAGGAATCCCTCCGTCACACACAAATGAAGATCTGCTGTGAGGAGACGAGGTTCTGATGTACCGAACTGTGAAGGGAAACATTGCGACTATGATGAGAAAGAATAGCTATGCTTGAGCTTTTTTGTCCTTTTTAGTCGCATCTTGTGACATCATGTCCCGTTTTTGGTTTGTTTATATGCCTTTGGTCTGTGTTGTGTTCATATTTCAGTCGAACCACACCAGAGTTTGTTTGGAAGCGGACTGAGACCCGTCTTTTCAGCGCTTGTTTGTTGAGCACCAGGGTTCAGATGGCAGCGTTCACACTTATTCAAATGAACCGCACTATTTTATGCGATTGAAAGATCCAAAAGAAGGGCTAAGAGATGAAACTTCCTTCGACAATTTGCAGTGCTACATATAACCGAGGCTGAGAAAGAACGGTAAATGATCTATTGCTGTTTTCCATGTTCATGGAGTAAGTAAACTGTGTTAACACGTCTTTTTATAAATGGCGGGTGCCGGTGTTTCATATGGCGTGCGTTCGGCCAATCAACGTACAAACGTCACTGTAGTTCCTATTGTGCTCGATTAGACCCTAATCTGAAGTAGGAACTCATTTAGTCCCCCTTAAACTAAAATCACTCCCAGTTCCTGTGGTGCGAACACGCCAAAAAGTGCTAATAGAGTGTGCAGATATGACATCACTTTGTAGGCCAAAACGTAGCATTTTAGCATTTTTTTTTTTTTTAACAGGATTTTGGTTAAATGGCTGAAATAAGGTCTCTGATGAACACAAGCTCAAGACACTTTCACGTTTTATTCAACAACATAAAATACATTAGTATTACCCCACTCGTGATTTTTAAAAGCTGTTACGTGTCTTGAAAAAGGCGGTAGATGAAAAACTTAAACGAACATTAGAAATGACTGAAATAAAATAAGTTCAAGGTGAAGAACTAAAATAACTAAAACTGGAATAAAAAGCTAAAAAGAAATGACAAAGACTCATAAAATGACTAAAATTAAACTGAAAATATACAAATTTCAAAATATGAATCAATGCTACAAAAGTATATAAATAATACTAAAATAGCACATACTCTTTGAGCATGTCATACTCTTTGAGCATGTCATTAACTTTCATTTTAAGTTTTTTTTTTTTTTTAAGATAAAGTGGATACTTCCAAGAAATTGTCCATTAAGACTCCTGTATTAAAGAGTAATATCTGAACAATGAAAGTTTACTTCATGAATGTTTAGCTTTCGGTTTCAATCAATAGAGGAAGAGAAGAAGCTGAGAATGATTTTTTTTGTGTAAGTAGTGGTTTGGTCTTGTGACAAGACCGATGACAAGATATCTGTCGTTCTGTGTGTCTTATAATCAGCAGAAACAATTCAAATGTTCTTCAGACCACAAACAGGCTCTCACGTACCTAGAACTCTAGCTAAACAACATAACTAATGAGCAACTCTACTAATCAAGTTTTAACATGTTTAAACTCAAATTAATTATTGAAAAATTTGTGTTTTCTTCCCTATTGTGACGTATATCTGAGTGAAACGGCTTCTCAAACAAGAACAAATGTAGGGCGGAGCTTGATTTTGTTTGTGGGGAATTGATTGGATGGTAAAGACATAGGGATACAGTATATTCACAACCTGATTGGTCAGCTTTTATTACGTCAGGTGTTTATTGACAGGTTGCCCTGCCCTCGCACCAGTAAACGCATCATCAGAGAAGAGATGTCGCTGCAAGGGAGAGGGGAAGTTGTTTTGATTAAAGATTATGTGGCACATGAATTTAAAAAAATAAATAATGATGTGCACAGATAAATCATTTATAATAAATACTGCAATATTCCATAAATTGCTAATATTCATGGTAACATTAAATAATAGCATGGTTGTTATCTTTACCTTGCTATAAAAATAACAACTTAAGATATCATAAACATTATAAACATTAACATCATGATTTTGCCTGCTATGAAACAATGTGTATTGTGAAAAGTGCTATATAATTAAATTTGACTTGACGTGATTTGCCTAAAACAACTTTTGTTTCGTTACTTTTAATGCCGCTGAGTGGAAAATAATATCAATGAATGGGCACTTTCAGCAAACCCTGAGCTACCCAGCATGCACCAGTGTGTGTCCACTTTAAAACCACCATAAAGCCACTCTGACCCCTATTTAAACTCCTGAGACCATCGGAGAGGAACAGAAAACACTCATCAAATATCCACAAGAACAACTACGAGCTCCTAATGCTGCTCTGATCTTCATGCTCTCCGTCACTCTAAACACTATATTTCTACACAACAGAACTGAGATAGTTGCCATGGAAACGGACTGAAGATGGAATTAAAAATTCTTTGAATTAGCGCCAGAGATTTCCACACGTCTTACAGCAGATTTCAAGTCTGTCGTTTACGTGTGTGTGCGTGTGAATGTAATTCACTGGTGACTAATGAACGTATAGAGTTATGTTCATACACACATCTGTGCGGACTAACAGTCAATAAGACTCATTCAAAACATTGGGCTCAGTATGATTTTGTTAAAGAAATTAATACTATTATTAAGCAAGGACGCATTCAATTGACCAAGTGATTTCTGAAGGATCATGTGACACTGAAGATTGCAGTAATGATGCTGAAAATTCAACTTCGCATCTCAGAAAATAATTAAATTGGAACATATTCACATAGAAATCAGATATTTTAATTTGTAATAATGTTTCACTGTTTTTACTGTATTTTTGATCAAATAAATGCAGCCTTGGTGAGACTTCTTTCATAAACATAAACAAATCTTACCAACCCCAATCTTTTGAACGATAGTGTATAAAAATACCCTGCACATCCACCATGGTATTCTTTAAAGTACAGTAAATACCATGGTACATGAATTTTAGTACCATGGTATTACCATCTGATACTATCTCTGTACCTCACCAGTTATTTATGGCATTTCCATCTTTTTTTTTATGTCATATATAAAATACACCCATGAACGTGTTGCGTTTCTGCCAAATGGAGGGATGCAGAGAGAAAGAACGAGGATAGAGGAGTATAAAGAGAGAGTGAAGAGGGAGCTGTAATGAGAGACAGCTGGTGGGAGGAGAGAGAAGACGGAGGGAGGGAAAGATGGAGGGAGAGGAGGAGGAGGAGGAGAGGAAAGTATACGAAGCCGACCTGAGAACACAAGCAGGTGGTGAAGCCGAGAGAGAGAGTGTGTGTGTGTGTGTGTGTGTGTGTGTGTGTGTGTGTGTGTGTGTGTGTGTGTGTGTGTGTGTGTGTGTGTGTGTGTGTGTGTGTGTGTTAAACATCGCAATCATTCATTCTGGACATGCCACAATTTCTTACTGTAGACTCACTGTAAACCCAAATAATAAGTTATAAGTTTGCAAAACTCATACATTTTGCTCTTAACTTAAAATATTTGAGTAAACTTTTAACTTAAAATTATC